TTATAATAATAATTATATCTTAATCTGATTTTAATTATATAGTTAAAAAATTTTTATATCTTAATCTAATTACTAGATTATGATCAGATTAAGATTAAGGTATAACAGTCAGGTTAAGCCACTCTAATATTAATTAAAAATTTAGTAAAATTTTATAATAATCTATATTTTTTATTAAGAAATATTTAGTTAAAATAAAAAATATTTTTAATTAAAACTAATTTAATAATCTATTATAATTAATATTTATTTAATATTTAAGAACTTTAATAACAGTTATATATATATCTTTTTAAATAATTTTATAAAATATTTTTTAATCTATATTTAATTAGAAGAATTTAATTTTTAATAAAAAATAAAATAATAAAATTAATTAATTATTTAAATTAAATATATTTAATAGTTCAGAATAATAGATAATAAATAATTATAAAATATAGAATTTAATTTTAAAAATTCTGTTTATTATAAACTATAAAAATCTAGAGAAAGATAATAATTAAAAAAGATTTATTTTAAAAAATAAATAAATATTTATAATAATTTTTACTTAATATTTAATTAATTATTTATTTAGATATAACTAATAATAATTTTTTCTTATAATTCTTATAAAAATAATACTTTATAAAACTAGTTTCTAAGTTTTTAATTTTTAAGTATTATAAGATATAAAAATATATAATATAATAAATATAAAAGATTTATTAAAAATTAATATATCTTTCTAAAAATTATTTTATATTATTAATAAATTTTCTTAATTAAAGTAAAATAATAATTTTTAAGCTTATATATAATCTTTAAAAAAGATTATTTTTTATTATTAATTTTAAAAAATAAAGAGCTTTTCTTAAAAAACTAAATATAAAATAATTTTTTAATTTTTTATAATATATATAATCTTAAGATTGAAGAAAAAAGAAATCTAACTTAAAAAACTTATCTTAATTTAAGTATTATTATTTATAAAAATCTAAAAATAAAAAAAAAGACTTAATAATATTCTCTAAAAATAAATTAAATAATTATAATTAATTTATAATTCTAAAGCTATTTTATAAATAATAAATATAAAAAATAAAAATAAAAAATTTTATAAAAATAATTTATTTTACTTTAAGATATAATTTTATATAAATATAATCTATTATATTTTAATATATAGCTAAGATATTTACTATATTTTATTTATTTTAATAAATCTAATAAATAGAAATTTATATTTAAAATCTAGAATTATAAAATAATCTCTTTCTTTAAATAAAGCTGCTTAAAATATAATAAATTAAAATAAAAAATAAATATTTATAAAAAAATCTATAAAAAACTTTTATAGAATCTTTTATAAGAGCTATAATATTATAATATAGATATAATATATTTTATTTATTCTATTTATTTATTTTATTTATTTTATTTATTTTATTTATTTAATTTATTTAATTTATTTAATTTATTTAATTTATTTAATTTATTTAATTTATTTAATTTATTTAATTTATTTAATTTATTTAATTTATTTAATTTATTTAATTTATTTAATTTATTTAATCTGCTTCATTTTAATAATTTGATTATTATTTATTTATAATCTTTTTAATTATTTATTTATTTCTAATTTTATTAATAGCTCTTTAAGCTATATTTTATTTATAAATCTAAGAATAGTCTGATTTGGAAAAATAATAAAATAAAAATAATATATTTATTTCTAGTATTCTAATTAATAATTAATATATAATTTTTTTAATATTTTATATAATATAATTAAAATATATAGCTAAAATAAAGTAATAATTATATATTTTTATATATATTTTTTACTATAAGAATAATAATTTTATAAAAAACTAAATTTTATTAATATAACTAGGATTTCTTATTATTTTTAATAAATAATAATAAAAAAATACTAATTTCTTTTTTAATTATATTTTTTTAATTTAAAAAGCTTCTTTTTATATACTTTTAGATAATAATAAAAATAATCAGATTAATAATTATTTAATCTAGATATATCTTAATTATATTAGAGCTTAAAAAAATATAATAAATAGATTTTAATATTAAAAATAATTAAAATAATTAATTATCTAATTTTTAGCTATATTATAATTAGATATAAAAATTTTCTTAATCTAACTATAATATAGTGATTAGATATAAAAATTCTAATTAACCTGATCTGATCTGGCTATTAACCACTCTAAAGAATCTTATAAGAATTTTTATTAAGAAGATTTTCTATTTATATAATATATTTATAGAGATTATTATAAATTATAATAATATTTTTATAAAGAATTTCTAATCTAATTTTATTTATATATTTATAATAAAAAAAACTAAGTATAGCTTATTATCTATAGATTAATAATTAAATTAAAAAATTAAATAATATTCTTACTTCTTAAATAATACTTATAAAGTTATATTAATTTTAAATAAAATAATTATATAAATCTATTATTTATTATAAAATTTATATATAATAATATCTTATAAATCTTCATAAAAACATTATTTTTTTATATTATTATAATAAAATATCTATAAGTAATTAAAATAAATTCTTATAAAACAAATAGAGATTAAACTTTTTAAATAAATTAAATATATTTAAAAAATTTTATATTAAAATAAAAAAGAATCTAATTTCTACTTATAAAAAATATAAATAATTTTATAATTATAAAAAATAAATAAAAGTTTTTATATTAAAAAAATAATTTAATTATTTATAAAATATTTTTTATAAAAACAGACTAGTAAGAAGCTAGATCTATAAAATAAAAATATTTTTTTATAAAAACAGACTAGTAAGAAGCTAGATCTATAAAATAAAAAATCTTATTATATTATTAAATAAATAAATTTATAAATCTATAAACTAAAATTATCTATAAAATTATAAATATATAATATATTTTATAAATATTATAAGATAAATAGAATAAACTTATAAAAATACTTTTTTATAAAAAAAAATAATTATAAATATTATTTAAAAATCTTATTAATTTTATAGAGTTAGAATAGATTTTTAAAAATCTTAATTAAATAAAAAATTATTTTAATAAAAATAATATCTAAGAATTACCTATAAATCTATATTATTTAGAAAACTTACTAATTTCTTTTAATAAAAATTTCTTATTTTTTTATAAATTAAATTATTTAGATATTATCTAAGTCTTTATATATTTTATCATTATTAAAAAAATCTAATAATTTTTTTATCTTATATATATTAATTATATCAAAATTCTTGACTTTAATAATAATCTTATTTAATATTTTTAATTATATTTTTATATTAATATATTATATATTACTATAGACTTTCTTATAATATTATCTATAATTATTTTAAAACATTAAATCTAATATTTAAAAATATTTTTATAAAATATAATTTTCTTTTTATAATTTTATATTTTTTAAATCAGAGAATTAAATTTATTAATAATTAATTTTATTATTATAAAATTATTTTTTTAATAATCTTAAGTTTTAACTAGATAACTGTCTTCTTTTTTTTATAATTTTTTTAATTTAATAAAATAATTCTATACTAAAATCTTTAAGAAGATTATTATTAATTATATTTATAATAACTAAAATAAATATTTTTTTATTTATAAATATAAATATTTTCTAATCTAGATTAATATATTTTTAAATATTTAACTAATATATTCTAGCTATTACTTTAATATTTTTAATTTATTTTTTTAATTATATAATAATCTTAATATTATAAAAATCTTTAAAATATTAGTTATTCTGCTATTTATATATTTTTATAATTTTTTAACTAAAAAGTATAATTAACTAATTAATTTGATTAATTAGAAATAATTTAATAATTTAATTAAGAGTTTTTTTAATAATAATATAAAATATAATTTAATAAAGTAATTAATCAGGCTTCTAATTATTAGATTCTAGAATAATAATATAAAAAAGATCTAATTTTATAATACTGCTGCGCAGACAGCAGGACTATATAAATATAGAATTAAATATAAATAAAATATATATAAAATTATATATAAGATTATATATAGACTGATTTAGATAATTATCAGGATTTATATCAATCAAGGACTAAATCTTGTTCTGTTATCATGCCAAGCCCTCGTTCCAATCAATAATATGCGGACTTTGAGACTGCGGGCTGCCGACAACTCCAGCATTGAAAAGAGCGCCGGCCACTGAGACAGGTCATGATCTCCCTTTGCTACTAACGGACTCGCATCGGAGGTCCCTATCCTCCGCCACAACTGCCAACTCGCCAGCTTTAAACCGAGACATAAGCCTCCCTCAAGCCATCTGCCCTCCGCACATCACTTCCGGCGGCTGTATACCATACTTGATCTTGCTTGCTCTTTCTCCGCTTGCCGCTCCCCCCATTCTTGACCCGAGGATTCCGGTCATGTCTATGTCTGTTTTTCTGGATTGAACCCTGCAGTTCAAACCTGCACTCTTCTTCTCTTTTCTTCTTCCTGCTCATCCCTCTGTATTGCTTCTATGCCGAGCCTAGACTTCACAATCTATGAAGGCAGCCATATATTACATCAAGTTATCCGCGAATCAGAACAATCGCGTTCTCTTCTAAGCAGATGGGTTCTGATAAAGGCAGCAGCGCTAGAGAAAATATAGCCTCTCCAGAACAAGACGGCCTTCAGCGAAGCAATGGATTACTGATGCCTGTCCTCATCCGGTCGGCAGAGAGGTCGCCGAGCAGTACCTTACTCCCCACACACGGTAAAGACCAGCAAAGGCAACATGTGCTGTTCCGCGTTGATACTGCTGGGGAGAGTGGGCGAAGTGGAATTCATCTATTTCACTTCTTGCGCGTTTGTTTCCGGAGCAGTTGTACTTTATCGATGCTGGTAAATGTGTTTTGGCCCTTTGTTCCAGCTGCCATCGCCATTCATTTCGCCAGGCCCGATCTCCATGTCTGGGTTTTTTCCCTTAATTATATTGCAATGGTGCCTTCGGCCAACCTCCTTGGGTTCGCCGGCGGAGAACTCGCGAAAAAAGCTTCCCAAAGTACTCGGTGTTCTCTTGGAAACAACTCTGAGTTCGGTTGTGAAAATTGTTCTCTTCATGGTCTTAATTCACAACGATCAGGGAGGCAATCTAATTCCTGTCATACAGGCCGCTATTTTAGGCTCAATTCTGGCGAACCTTCTGCTTTGTCTCGGCCTATGCTTTTTCTGTGGAGGCATTGGACGTGAAAATCAGTCATTTCATGAGGCTGTCAGCGAAGTAGGCTCAGGGATCTTGCTAGTTGCAGGCTTTGGGCTTTTAATCCCTAGTGCGTTTTATGTGACCCTGAAGAGCAATTCGTCGGATACACATGTACAGTTGTCGTCGCAAGCCTTGAATCGGTCAACTTTGATCATCAGCAGAGCCACAGCCGTCATCCTTCTAGTGGCCTTTCTGATGTAAATCGTTGCTTCCCAGGATGTCAGTTCGGGATGTGGATGCTTACTGCATGAAATAGGTATCTATTTTACAACCTTCATAGCCATCATAGCATCTTTGATGAAGTGCTTGAGTTCGACGAGCGCCAAGACGAAGATCGCGAGAAAGTACTAAAGCGGGCAAAACTTACCCTTATCGAATGCCTCGCTGCTGTTGCTATCTCACTCGCTTGTGTCTGCATGTCTGCCGTCTTCCTGGTGGAAGAGATCGAGCATATAGTAAACGAAAGAGGAGTGTCGGACAACTTTATGGGCCTAATTCTAGTTCCCTTGGTCGAGAAAGCGGCAGAGCACTTGACTGCCATTGACGAAGCCTGGTAAGCACATTATTGCATACCTAATTTCACTATGAAACGGGTTACCTTGGCCACCGGCTGCCACCGCTAACTTCGGACAGGGATAATCAGATCAACTTTGCACTCTTTCACTGCCTTGGCCCGTCAATTCAAACGGCGCTGTTGAACGCACCCATTGCAGTACTTGTAGGCTGGGGTATTGGTAAGGATATGGGTCTGAATTTTGAAATCTTCATGATAGTACTGGTTGTTTTATCCATCCTAGTTGTCGGGAACTTTCTCCGAGATGGCAAGTCGAATTACCTGGAAGGAGGCCTCTGCGTGCTGGTCTACGTAATCATTGCGGTGAGCACGTGGTACTATCCTCGAATCGTACCCGAAGGTGAGTCGGGGGAATGACAACGCCTCTTTCTTGGTATTTTAGCTAGGAAGTACTTTTGTAGCACGCGCTTGGGAGAGAACGTTGAATTCAGACTTACGGACAGCCGGTGCTTACCTAAATAATAACAATAACACCACCGCTTATTATGTGTGAAAAAGAACCTCTCTGTTTCATTGAGCAATCTTGACAAGACTCCTCCATGGCCTTGATGATTGCAACTGCTGGTGGCTGAAGTACGGAGTAGCGGGTCGGGTTTCCCGACGTACTGGCCAAGCTCCGAAGCTCTTCCAGCTCCTACCTCCCCTTGGTTCCGGGAAGAGATAGGTAGTTCCTAAGATCAAATCGAAACAAAGGCCCAATGGACCCTTCATCCATCATCATTTCGGCACTCAAAGATCGTGATATCTCGTTCAGGCGTGACGACATCCAATCAGTCCTTAGAAATGGACCAGGCAGTACTAAGATTGCGGAGTGGCTAATGAGACATGTTACTCCCGACACTATGCTTTCGCAAGAAGAACTCACACTGTATTTTTGACTACATTGAGAAAGAGCCCCAGGAACTTCCAACATATCTGACTGTTACATTCTTACTGTAGGTATTCGAAGCTCGAAAGCTCCGGTGACTTGCAAAGCATTCTCACCAGCACAAACATGGACGTGATCCAACCACTTCAAGACAATGATCTTTGGCACGCGATCCAAATATTAGATGCTTCTACGGGTGCAATTACAAAACAGGTAGCAAGTTTGGAATTGCAATATGGGGGTATAAACATGCAATCTCAGTCGAATGATGGACGGAAGTTGTGTCAGAATAGGGATGTTGCAAGACTATGCCAGAAGCATAAGTCATGGAGGCAGAATATCGCTGCTGCGGTAGTTCTTTCTTATCTTGGTCCCAGTCATGGAAATTTTGCTGAGAGTATTCTGTACAGTCTAGTGATCTTGCTCACGTGCTGGAACTGGATCTGAGAAGTGAATCAGAGCGAGCGACGACAGAGGGCAAAAGACTACTGTCCACCCTGACAACACGATTAAAGGAAGACGATAGATTAATTGTGGTACTGGAAAGACTTTCTGCTCAAATTGAATTTACCGGGCAGGATGAGACTATTGTGGAACAGGCTTCTGGGCGAAGCAGAGTTCTTGCCCAGTGCATTTCTGACGAGATCCAGCACCGGCTTGATCGGTTATACCTGGAAAGCTTACAAAGAGGTTTGATGGAGACACAAAGCAAGCCTCAACAGGCTGAAGACGAAGCTCTGGTCGCGTTAAAGGGTGAGCTCGATTCGTTATATCCGGAGATTTCGATACTGGCGGAGATGTCTACGAGACAGGAATTCACAGAACCAATGGTACATGAGCTAGGCAGCCACCATGGCAAGTTGCGTATTGATTTCCATCAAAAGCTGGATTATGTGCGCCATCCCCAACATCCACGGCCTTTCTTCACTAATGCCCTCTAGGTTCTGGATGTTATCTCAAAGATGGCCTCTTATACAGGGACCCTCATCAGGCGCCTGCAGGATCGGGAGTCATTTTGTGGGATGCTTGAAACCATCGCTGCTGCGCATCAATCGGAAGTCGGTGACCTGTTCACTGCTCAGACTACATCGACACGGGAAGCCCTGAGGCATGCCTTCGTGCAGTTAACGCCGACATTCATTTCTTCCAAGAATCGAGATGCTCCGGTTTCCGACACTCTGTCACTGGCGAAGCTGTTGCGCCGCGAAGGGCTATCGCTGGAATCTATCCTCGATTCGGAAAAGGTCGATGAAGGCTCAAAAGCTTTGCAAGGGAAGAGACTTCAGCTAACCGACAGCCTATATTCTCATGGAATAGCCGCAGATTCGCCAATGGCGACAGGGCTGTTCCCGACTGACCAAGCAATACGGCTTCTCTCCACGTGCTTGCACACGAATTCGCAATTTGAATCCTCACTTTCACGCCCAGAACACCGGGAAAGGCTTTCCAGTCTCGAATTGAGATTAAATGAAATGAAACAGGGTCTAAAAGAACTCGACCCAACTGTGCTTCTCAGACGGGACAGAGGCCGGGATAGGTTTGTCGATAATTGGGGCTCGAGGGTGCTGGAGGACTAGTCGATGTTTCGGCGGTTCTTGCTTCAAGATACCGCCTCTCTTACTGTATACCTGCATACCGAGTCCTGTAAATGCGCGGTTAGAATGACCAGGGTGCTATTGTGTAATCATCGGCTGTGTGGATCTGGACATGTGCTGTACGGAGAACCCACGTGGGTTTGAACAAAACCGACATCCGGGGTAGGTGTATTGTATGTACCTACAGCTAGATATCATCTACCTTATAGCGCCTGCCTGCTGGCACTCCGTACCAAATACTTGCAGGATTGTTTTGTGGCCCGTACGGGCATACAGCTCCGGCGGGTTCAGAAAAAGTTGCGGAAGAATCAGACTGATCACTGAAATTAGAATAATTCTTAACAAGAATTAAAAAATAGTAATAAAATCTTCTATATTTTTTATATAATTTATATTTTTTATTTAAAGTTAATTTTTTTTATAAAATATAAAAAATAAATAGATCTATTAATTTTAAAATTTTTATAATTATATATAATTTATTTATATAATATAAATATATTAAGCTAAAAGATAAAATCTGACTTTATAAAATCTAATTTATTTAATTTAAGATAAATTTATTAATTAAATTAAATTAGATTTTAAAAATTTAAATCTATTTATTAAGTCTATTTACTTGCTTGAGCAGATTCTCTTGACAAGCTGGGCTGAGTAAATCCCAAGCTGACAAGCGGGTAATAACAAGTCTACTGACTGCTTGTAAGAATAGTAATTCTTATAACACTTATAATATACTATATTATAAGAAATATTTATATTATAGAGATAATCTCTTATAAAATAATTATATTAATATAATATATAATAATATAATCTACAGAATTCTTATAAATATATTTATTTATAAGAAAAATTAGATAAAAAACTAATAATAATATTTTAAATAATATAAATATTATTTTAATTATATAATAAATATATTTTTTTTATATTATTTTAATATATACTCTTATAATTTTATTATTTAAAATTTATAAAATAATTTATTAAAATTATATTTATATTATTATATAAAATATTAGATATTATACTTATAAGAAATTTTTTAATTTTAAAAAAATTAATTATAAAATTATTATAAAGAAAATAATTAAAATAAATATAATTTTATTATTTTTTAAAAACTTTTATAAGTAATTAAATATATTTTAATAAATTATAGAATTAGAATAGAGACTTAAAATTTTTATAAATAATAAAAAACTTATAAATTTCTAAGTAATTCTAATATTTTATTTATAAAATTAAAGAAAATTAATATATATATATATTTTTTATAAAATAATAAATACTATAGTATTTATAATTATATTATTTTTTAATTATTTATTATTTAATAAGAATCTATCGCAGAGATTAATAATTAAAATAAAAATTAATAAGTATAAATTATAATAATTTATTTAAATTATATACTTAATAATTTATAAAAAAATAAAATTATAAAATTCTTTTAAAAAAATAGTTAAATAAATTTTTCTAAATTTTTTTAAGATATAACTAGATAATTTAAAAAAGTTATAAATAAAAAATATAATTATAAACTTTAAAAATAATCTTTTATAAAAGAATTCTTTTATATATTTATAATATTAAAAGAAGATAAAAACAGAGCTAGATTATAAAATATAAAAATTAAATATTATATAATTATATTTATTCTTTAAATTATTTTTATAAAATATAAAATAAAAGATTTATAAATATCTAGATTTTTTTATTATTAAATAAGATCTAATTATATTATTTATAAAATTAAGATTAAGTATTAATTAATAAAATAAAAAAATTAATTATATATAAGAAAAACAAGTATTATTGTTTATAAATTAAATAAAATAATCTAATAATTATAAAGTATTATAAAAGCTTTCTATAAAGAGATATTCTATAATTAAATATTAATATTTATAAGAATAATAAAATATTTTAACTACAGAAAGTAAGATTATATAATAAAAGATTATTATTAAAGTAAGATTACATAATAAAAAATTATTATTAATATAAAAATAAAAATTCTAAAAAATAACTTGCAGTTTAAATAGACTATAAAAAATTAATAAATATATTTTTTATAATATATTTTATTCTAAGATTATAAGAATAATTACTTATATAGAATAAGACTAATCTATTTAAAAAGATTAATATTTTAATTAATATAAATATAGAAATAAATCTAATATTTATAATATTAATAAAAATTATAAAATAATTAATAATATTTATAAAGAGTTTTATAAAATTATTAAATAATAATAATATTTATTTAAAAAAACTATAATAATTAAAATAAATCTTATAAATATAAAAAATAATTATAAGATTTATAAAAAAAAGTATTATTATAATATTTAATATAGAAAAGATTATATTAAATATATTATAAATTTAAACAGAGATCTCTATTACAGAGTTTAATTAATATTATTAAAAATTTTATAAAATATAATAAATTAAAATATATTATATTATTATAGTAGAGTTTCTTATAAAGAAATTAAAGATTAAATAATTATAAATTATAATAATTAAATTTATCTATAAAGAGATAGATTTAGAAGTATTTTTAAAATAGTTTTATAATTTTAAGATAATATTTATAAAAAATAAAATAATAAACTATCTATCTTTATAATTAAATATTAATCTAAAAATTAATTTAGAAAAATTATAAATTAAAAATAAAATTAATTTATAAAATATTATTCACAAAGTAGAAAATACTCTGAGAATATTTATAAAAATATTTTATATATAAATAAATTTAATATTTAAAATTATTTATTAAAATATTAATTCTTTTTATAAAAAAAAAGAATAGGAATTTATAAGTATATATTAATTATTATAAGCTAAATAAATAAATTATTAAAATAAATATTTATTATTATAAATTAATATTTATTATTATAAATTAATATTTATTATTATAAATTAATATTTATTATTATAAATTAATATTTATTATTATAAATTAATAACTATATTAATGAAATTTAGCTTATAAAAGTATTATAATTTATATAATTTAATTTTTATAAAATTTATTATAGAATAAGAATTATAATAGATTATAAATAAAAAATAATTTTTTAAATAAAATAGAATTTATTTGAATTTTTAATTTTATTTTTTAGACTAATTAATATATTTATAAAATTTTAAGATTTTATAATTTTTTTATTTATAAAGTACTTAAATAATTTTATAATTATTTATTTTAATAATATTATAATATACTTATAAGATCTTAAGATATATAAAAAATAAATTTATAAAATTATATAAATTTTAATTAAAATAGATTTATATATAAAATTAAATAAATATTATTTTATATAAATAAAGATTAATTTTCTTAATTTTATTATAAGCTATAAAAATATATAAATAAAATTAAAATAAATTATAATAATTCGCGAGTAATTAAAGTTATAGAATATAAAAAATATATTATAATTTATAAAATTTATAAATTAATATTAATAATTTATTTAAAAATACTTATAAATAATAATCTTATTTATAGATTTTATTAAAGAATTCTAGAAAAAAAAGATTTTAATATAAAGTTTATTATAATTAATATTTATAAGAGCTTTAAATAACTGAAGATAATATTTATAAAAAATATTATAATTATTTATTTTTAAAAAAACATAAGTATATATTAAAATAAATATATTTAATTTTATAATTAATAATATATTATTATAAAATAATATAGATAATTAATAAATTTTAATTATATCTTATTTATAAAAGATAATTACAGTAAAAAGAGATTATAGAATTTATAATTAAAAATTATTTATAATAATAGAATTATTTAAGAAATAATATTATTAATTAAAAAAAAACAGATTTTATAATTAAGATATTTATTAATTATAAAAATCTTAAGTATTTTATTAGAGTGGCTAACAGCCAGGTCAGATTAGATTAATTAGAATTTTTATATCTAACTGCTAGATTATAATTAGATTAAGAAAATTTTTATATCTAATTATAATATAACTAAAAACTAGATAATTAATTATTTTAATTATTCTTAGTATTAAGATTTACTTACTATATTTTTTTAAGCTCTAGTATAATTAAGATATATTCAGATTAAATAATTATTAATTTAATTATTTTTATTATTATTTAAAAATATATAAAAAGAAGCTTTTTAGATTAAAAAAATATAATTAAAAAAAAATTAGTATTTTTTTTATTATTATTTATTAAAAATAATAAGAAAATTCTAGTTATATTAATAAAATTTAGTTTTTTATAAAATTATTATTCTTATAGTAAGAAATATATATAAAAATATATAATTATTATTCTATTTTAGTTATATATCTTAATTATATTATAGAATACTAGAAAAACTATATATTAATTATTAATTAAAATACTAAAAATAAATATATTATTTTTATTTTATTATTTCTTCTGAATCAGACTATTCTTAGATTTATAAATAAGATATAACTTAAAAAATTATTAATAAAATTAAAAATTAATAAATAATTAAAAAGATTACAGATAGTTAGATTATTAAAATAAAATAAATTAAATAAATTAAATAAATTAAATAAATTAAATAAATTAAATAAATTAAATAAATTAAATAAATTAAATAAATTAAATAAATTAAATAAATTAAATAAATTAAATAAATTAAATAAATTAAATAAATTAAATAAATTAAATAAATTAAATAAATTAAATAAATTAAATAAATTAAATAAATTAAATAAATTAAATAAATTAAATAAATAAAATAAATAAATAGAATATACTAGATCTGTATTATAATATTATAACTCTTATAAAAAATTTTATAAAAATTTTTTATAGATTTTTTTTATAAATATCTACTTTTTATTCTAGTTTATTATATCTTAAGTAGCTTTATTTAAAAGAAGAGATTATTTTATAATTTTAAGCTTTAAATATAAATTTCTATTTATTAAATTTATTAAAATAAATAAAATATAGCAGATATCTTAGTTATATATTAAAATATAATAAATTATATTTATATAAAATTATATTTTAAAATAAAATAAATTATTTTTATAAAGTTTTCTATTTTTATTTTTTATATTTACTATTTATAAAATAGCTTTAGAATTATAAGTTAATTATAATTATTTAATTTATTTTTAAAAAATATTATTAAGTCTTTTATTTTATTTCTTAGATTTTTATAAATTATAATAATATCTAAACTAAGATAAGCTTTTTAAGTTAGATCTTTTTTTTTTTAAATCTTAATATTATATATATTATAAAGAATTAAAAAATTATTTTATATTTAGCTCTTTAAAAAAAGCTCTTTATTTTTTAGAATTAATAATAAAAAATAATTTTTTCTAAAAATTATATATAAATTAAAAAATTATTATTTTACTTTAATTAAGAAAAGTTATTAATAATATAAAATAATTTTTAAAAAAATATATTATTTTTTAATAAAATGTTTTATATCTACTATATTATATATTTTTATATTTTATAATATTTCAAAATTAAAAACTTAAAAACTAGTTCTATAAGCTATTATCTCTATAAGAATTAATAAAAAAAATTATTATTAATTATATTTAAATAAATAATTAGTTAGATACTAAGTAAAGAGTTATTATAAATATTTATTTATTTTTTTAAAATAAATCTTTTCTAATTATTATTTTTTTTTAGATTTTTATAATTTATAATAAACAGGATTTTCAGAATTAAATTTTATATTTTATAATTATTTATTATTTATTATTCTAAATTATTAAATATATTTAATTTAAATAAATAATTAATTTTATTATTTTATTTTTCTGCTGAAAATTAAGTTTTTTTAATTAAATATAAATTAAAAAATATTTTATAGAATTATCTAAAGAGATATATATATAACTACTATTAAAATTTCTAAATATTAGATAAATATTAATTATAATAGATTACTAAATTAGTTCTAATCAGAAAATATTTTTTAATTTAATTAAATATTTTTTAATAAAAAATATAAATTATTATAAGATTTTACTAGACTTTTAATTAATATCTAAATCTTATATTAATAAAAATCTAATTATAATTATTTTATTAGTTTTATATAAATATAATCTTGTCTATTAATTATTAGATATAATAATTAATAATATTAATAATAATAATATAATATTTAATATAATCTTAGTTAAACTCTAAACTTAATTTAGTTAGAATATTTAGTTTTATAATATTTTAATTAATTCTAATTTTTTAAAGATTATTTAAAATTAGTATTATATTTTTTATTTTATTTATATAATTTAGTTTATAATTAATATTCTTTTATAAAAACTTTAGATTAAGATCTTAAATAATATTATTAAATATATATAAAAAAATAATAATAAAAGTTTTAAAATCTTTTTTAATATTTTAAAAATTTTTAAAAAAATATATTCTAAAAGCTATTTATAAAAAATTAATATAGAATTTTTTTTATAAAAGATTTTTAGAAATTTTTTATTAGCTAGTTTATTATATTAATTTTTAATTATAAATTTAAAAATTATATAATTTATAAATATAAGCTTTTAATATTATAAGAAGTTCTTATTTATTTAATAACTTAAATCTAACTTAGTTTATTATTTTTTTTTAATTATAAAATTTGCTAAAACTTAATTTATTTTATAATTTATTAAATATTTAATTTTATTAAATAATTAAAAGTTTTATTCAGTACTAAAAATATAATAATATTAATTATTTTTATTTTATTATAATTAAATAAAAATAGATAGAATATTTTTTAAGTTTTTATATTTCTTTTTTTTTTTTTATTTTCTGTCTTTTTAAAAATAATAGATTTATTATTTATAAGATTTATAATATCTATAATAATTTCTTTAATTATCTAAATTATTTAATTAATAGATTAGAAAGAAAATAGATACTCTAAAAAAAATTTTTTTTAAAAGCTTATATAATATATATCAGAAACTTTAAAAGTATTATTATTATATTTATTAAACAGAAGACTATATTTATATAATTATAATTATTTTAGATCTAATATTAAAGCTTAGGAAATTTAAGAAAAATATATAATTATTAATTAAATAATAATATTAATTAATATTATAAATATTAAACTATTTTTAAGAAGATATTCTTTTTTTATTTTAGTTAAAATTTAATAATTAATATATTATTAATAGTCTCTAAATTATTATTAGATCTAGATAAGATTTTTTATAATATTTTTAAATATTAGAGACTCTTATCTATAGTTAAAATATATAAAAAACTTAAGATATATCTAGATATTAAAAATATATAGTTTCTTAAGATATTTTTAATTAAACTAATATAATTTTAAATATTATAGAATATATTAATATCTTTATTTATTAAAAATTTTACTATAATTAATTTTTTATTCTTTATTAAATAACTAGAGATTTTCTTTTAATTATAATTAATAATATTAATATTAAATATTTTTTTAATAATTCTTAAGATATCTGCTATTATTATTAGAATTATTTTAATTTTAATATAATTAAAATAGTTATGTTTTAAATATATATTAATTATTTTATTATAAATAAAAAGTATTAGAATATATTTAATAATCTTAATTTAGATTTAATTATTTTTATACTTAAGAAGTAAGAGAAGAATAAGATAATTATTATCTTTTATATTAATAAGAATAAGAATATAGATAATCTTAAAAATAATTTAAAGAATAAATTATTATTAGAATTAAAAAAACTAGTCTTATCTAAGTTTTTAATTATTATATATATTTAGATAAAGATAAAGATTTAATTTTTATAATTTCTATATTATTATAATTATTATTCTGAATAATATAAAAAATAAATATTTTATATTTTTTTTTATTTTTTTTATATTAGATTTTATAAAAGTCTTTTTTAGAGTATAGTATATTTTTTAAGATAATTAATTAAATAAATTAAATAGTAGATTATATCTAAAGAATATTATTATATTTATACTATAATTAAATATATATTATACTTTATATATTATTTATATAAGAAGAATATATATATTATAAATTAATTTATAATTATTAATTTATCTGCTATATCTAATCTTTCTAATTAATAAATATAAATATCTATAATAATAATTATATCTTAATCTGATCTTAATTATATAATTAAAAATTTTTTATATCTTAATCTAATTACTAGATTATAGCCAGATTAGAGTGGCTTAACCTGACTGTTATATCTTAACCTTAACCTGGCCATAATCTGATAGTCAGATTAAGATATAAAAAATTTTTAACTATATAATTAAGATTAGATTAAGATATAATTATTACTATAATTATTTATATCTGCTAATCAGAAAAATCAGATATAGCAGATAAATTAATAATTATAAATTAATTTATAATATATATATTCTTTTTATATAGATAATATATAAAATATAATATATATTTAATTATAATATAAATATAATAATATTTTTTAAATATAGTCTACTGCTTAATCTGCTTAATTAATTATTTTAAAAAATATATTATATTCTAAAAAAAACTTTTATAGAATCTAGTATAAAAAAAATAAAAAAAGATATAAAATATTTATTCTTTATATTATTTAAAATAATAATTATAATAATATAAAAATTATAAAGACCAGATCTCTATTTTTATCTGAGTATATATAATAATTAAAGACTTAAATAAAACTAGTTTTTTTAATTTTAATAATAATCTATTTTCTAAATTATCTTTAAGATTATTTATATTCTTATTCTTATTAATATAGAAAATAATAATTATTTTATTTTTTTTTTATTTCTTAGATATAAAAATAATTAAATCTAAATTAAGATTATTAAGTATATTCTAATACTTCTTATTTATAATAAAATAATTAATATATATTTAAAGTATAATTACTTTAATTATATTAAAATTAAAATAGTTTTAATAATAATAGCAGATATCTTAAAAATTATTAAAAAAATATTTAATACTAATATTATTAATTATAATTAAAAGAAAATCTCTAGTTATTTAATAAAAAATAGAAAACTAATTATAGCAGAATTTTTAATAAATAAGAATATTAATATATTCTATAGTATCTAAAATTATATTAATTTAATTAAAAATATTTTAAGAAGCTATATATTTTTAATATCTAGATATATCTTAAGTTCTTTATATATTTTAATAAAAGCTAGATATAAAATAATTTTCCGATTCTTTATAATATATATAATCTTAAGATTTAAGAAAGAAGAAAAGATCTAACTTAAGAAATTTATTTTAGTTTAAATATTATTATAATTTATAAAAATTTAAAAAATAAAAAAAAAAACTTAATAATATTCTCTAAAAATAAATTAGATAATTATAATTAATTTATAATTCTAAAGCTATTTTATAAATAATAAATATAAAAGAATAAAAGCAGAAAACTCTGTTTAGTAAATATTAGATTAAAATAAAAATTTAATATAATAATAAAATAGAATTTAGTCTTTAATTATAAATCTAATAATAGATTTAACAAGCAGAAATTTATATTTAAAATTCAGAATTATAAAATAGTCTCTTTTCTTAAATAGAACTGCTTAAAATATAATAAATTAAAATAAAAAATAAATATTTATAAAAAAAATTTATAAAAAATTTTTATAAGATCTTCTATAAGAGCTGTAATATTATAATATAGATCTAATATATTTTATTTATTTATTTTATTTATTTAATCTATTTAATTTATTTAATTTATTTAATCTATTTAATCTATTTTATTCTAATAATCTAATTATTTATAATCTTCTTAACTATCTACTAGTTTCTAATTCTGTTAATAGCTCTTTAAGTTATATCTTATTTATAAATCTAAGAATAGTCTAATTTAGAAGAAATAGTAGAATAGAAGTAATATATTTATTTTTAATATTTTAATTAATAATTAATATATAATTTTTCTAGTATTTTATAATATAATTAAAATATATAATTAAAACAGAGTAATAATTATATATTTTTATATATATTTTTTACTATAAAAATAATAATTTTATAAAAAGCTGAATTTTATTAATATAACTAGAATTTTCTTATTATTTTTAATAAATAATAATAAAGAAGATACTAATTTCTTTTTTAATTATATTTTTTTAATTTAAAAAGCTTTTTTTTATATACTTTTAAGCAATAATAAAAATAGCCAGATTAATAATTATTTAATCTAAATATATCTTAACTATACTAGAGCTTAAAAAAATATAATAAATAAATCTTAATATTAAGAATAATTAAGATAATTAATTATCTGATTTTTAGTTATATCGCGATCAGATATAAAAATTTTCTTAATCTGATTATAATCTGGTGATTAGATATAAAAATTCTAATTAACCTGATCTGACCTGGCTGTTAGCTACTCTAAGCCAGATTAAGATTAAGATATAATAGTTAGGTTAAGCCACTCTATATTTTATAATAAGTCCAGAGCTATTATAAAAATAAATATAATAAATATAATAATTTATAATATTTTGATTTTATTTTATTTATTATTTAAATATATAAAATCTTATAAATATATTTTAAATATATAAAAAATTAGAAGAGCAAAAATAACAGATAATATTATTATTATAAAAAAATTATATTATAAAAATCTTTTTATAAAGCTACTAGCCACAGTATTTATAATATTAATAAAAAATTAATAAATATAAAATATTTATAAAGAATTAAAAGACTTTAAAAATTTTAAATTATAAAAAAAAAGAATAGATAAGATTTTATAATAAAAAAATTATAAAAGTTTTTTATAAAAAATAGAATAATTATATATCTTAGATAAATATATTTTAAGTTTTAAATACTTATAAAGCTATATAATAATTTTATTATAAATTATTTTATAAGTAAGAAAATACTAATATTAAGAATTTTAATAATTCTAATAAATAAAAATAAATAATTTTATAAATAAATATTATTAAATTTATAAAATATATTAAAATAATAAAATAATTTACAAAAAATAATATAAATTACTAGAATTTTTATTTATATTCATAAAACTTTAAAAAGAAATAATAATAAATTTTATCACTAATTTATTTATAAGTACTAGTATTATTAAAAACTTATAAAAGATTTTTAATAATATTTTAATAATAATAAATAAATATAGTAAGATAATCTATTTTATTTTTTTATAAAAAAATCTTAGTAAACAAAATCTTATAAAAATCTTTATTAAAAAGGGTTTTTATTTATATAATATATTTATGAAGATTATTATAGATAGAGTGGCTTAACCTGACTGTTATATCTTAATCTTAATCTGGCCATAATCTAGCAGTTAGATTAAGATATAAAAAATTTTTAATTATATAGTTAAGATTAGATTAAGATATAATTATTATTTTAATTATTTATATTTATTAATTATAAAAATCAGATATAGTAGATAGATTAATAATTATAAATTAATTTATAATATATATATTATTTTTGTATAAATAATATATAAAATATAATATATATTTAATTATAATATAATAATATTCTTTAGATATAGTCTATTATTTAATTTATTTAATCAATTATCTTAAAGAATATACTATACTCTGAAAAAGACTTTTATAAAATTTAATATAAAAAAAACAAAAAAAAGATATAAAATATTAAATTTAAAATATAATTAATTAATTAATTAATTTAATTAATCTGATTAAATCTAGTTAAAATATAAAATATTTTTTAATTAGAGCTGATTCAGTAGTCTATTATAATTAATATTTCTTTAATATTTAGAAATTTTAATAGCAGTTATATATATATCTCTTTAAATAGTTTTATAAAATATTCTTTAATTTATATTTAATTAAAAAAACTTAATTTTTAGTAAAAAAATAAAGTAATAAGATTAATTATTTATTTAAATTAAATATATTTAATAATTTAGAATAATAAATAATAGATAATTATAAAATATAGAACTTAATTCTAAAAATTTTATTTATTATAAATTATAAAAATCTAGAAAAAGATAATAATTAGAAAAGATTTATCTTAAAAAATAAATAAATATCTTTAATAATTCTTTATTTAATATCTAACTAATTATTTACTTAGATATAATTAATAATAATTTTTTTATAATTCTTATAAAAATAATAGTTTATAAAACTAGTTTCTGAGTTTTTAATTTTTAAGTATTATAAAATATAAAAATATATAATATAATAAATATAAAAGATTTATTAAAAAATAATATATTTTTCTGAAAGCTGTTCTATATTATTAATAATTTTTTTTAATTAAAATAAAATAATAATTTTTAAACTTATATATAATTTTTAGAAAAGATTATTTTTTATTATTAATTTTAAAAAATAAAGAGCTTTTTTAAAAAGCTAAATAAAAATAATCTTTTAATTTTTTATAATATATATAATCTTAAGATTTAGAGAAAAAGAAAAAATCTGACTTAAAAAGCTTATTTTAATTTAAATATTATTATAATTTATAAAGATCTAAGAAATAAAAAAAAACTTAATAATATTTTTTAAAAATAAATTAAATAATTATAATTAATTTATAATTCTAAAGCTGTTCTGTAAATAATAAATATAAAAAAATAAAAATAAAAA